GCGCCGCCGGGGGGGAAGGAGGTCAGCGCAGCGCCCCCTAGCGCCGCCGGAGGGGAAGGAGGTCAGCGCAGCGCCCCCTAGTGCCGCCGGAGGGGAAGGAGGTCAGCGCAGCGCCCCCTAGCACCACGGGAGGGGAAGGAGGTCAGCGCAGCGCCCCCTAGCGCCGCCGGAGGGGAAGGAGGTCAGCGCAGCGCCCCCCTAGCGCCGCCGGAGGGGAAGGAGGTCAGCGCAGCGCCCCCTAGCGCCGCCGGAGGGGAAGGAGGTCAGCGCAGCGCCCCCTAGCGCCGCCGGAGGGGAAGGAGGTCAGCGCAGCGCCCCCTAGCGCCGCCTGGAGGGGAAGGAGGTCAGCGCAGCGCCCCCTAGCGCCCCGGGGGGGGGAGCAGAAGGGATGGTGAGCGTCAGTGCAGCACACAAACGCTGCCAGCGGCAGCAGGACAGAGAACGTGACAGGTCGCGAGGAGGTGGCTCCTGGAACTCCTGGCGGGGCTGGTCCCTGCTGCGTCCTCACCCACAGCCGCCATGGCGCTGGGGATGGCGTCACCCCCATGGCATCGTCTCCACCCCGCCCCCACTTCTTCAAAGGCTGCAGCTGGCCCCTAGGCCTGGGGACAGTTCAGGGAGGGGAGGGAGGCTGGTCCGGCATTCAGCGCGCTGGCCTCAGGGAAGGAGACTAGGGTTTATACCTCACTCACCCTGAGACACGGGTCAGTCACTGCAGCCATTCTGTGCCTCAGTTTACCCATCTGCAAAATAGAGATCGGCTCACTGGAAGGGTGGGGGATGGGGAAGGTTTAACGCATGGATGGCGCTGGAGGGAGACGCGTCGGCGGCAGTAATGGGGGGGGGGCATGATCTGAGCAGCAGGGGCCGCCGATACACCCAGCCGGGCTGAGCCTTGGCCATGTGGGCTCAGCCAGACCCTGCAGGATTCCCTGACTGCACCTCCCATGAGGGGCCGGGTCCTGGCAGCGGTGCCGGGGACGCAGCGCGAGTGCAATCAAACTAGAGCGCTCTTCGCGCACCCCAGAGGGAGACGGCTCCGGGGGGCGCCGCGCCTGCTGGCTGACCTTCCCCCAAGCGGAGAGACAAGTACAGACCGCACCCCGCAGGCCCAGATGCTCCGGGGCAGAGCCTCAGCTGGCACAGAGCCACGGACACCTCCGAGGAGTTGCAGCAGCGGAGATCTGGCCCCAGAGCGCCAAGCCAGCAGGAGGCAGCATTGCTTCGGTTTTCGGTTTTATTGAAGTGACTGAAAAGCCAAGCGTCCACAGGCGGCACCGCGGAGAGCAGCCACAGGCCATGGCACACGACAGCACGTGGGCAGTAGGGGCAAAGGGTGGGAGTGAGGGGCCAAACCCCATCAGACATGAGGCTTTCTGAGCCCAGCAGTGGGGCAGGGGCTGGCACTGGGCTTGGCATGTGTGGGACTGGAACTGTGGGCATCAAAGGCTTAAAAAAGCTACAGAGAATTTGTCCCTCTGCAGCAGTCACAGGGACTCACAGGGCCAAGGACTCTGGACTGCTCCCCGCCACTCCCCTGCCTCCCACAAGCCAGAACCGGGCCCCTTGCTGACGCCCATGGGAGCCAGGAGCCCACGGGGGTTACTGGGTGACACACGTCACTCCCTGACCCCCTCTGGAGCACCCTTTCAATGTATACCACAGCCCTCCCCCCCCGCCCCGCTGCTGACACAGGCAGCTGCCACTGGCTCTCCACCCGCTGCAGCCCGGGAGCTCCCATGGGGTGACAGCCCCCAGAGACCCAGCTCTGAGGCTGT